GCTACTTCTTTGCCCTTTAATACATTTTATTTGAGAAAAAATTATGAAAGGAATGTGCTTATTTTCAAATTAAAAAATATCGTTTAAACTTATATGTTGCATCAACTATGGGTGTTTGATGAATTGAAAGTTGGTAATTATGATATTTAATCGAGCTCTCAATACCTTAGCTTAGATCACACATTAATATATAAGACCTATATGTACGGCAGTGTAGGGGCGAAACCGCCTACTCTAACCATCCACTTAAATAAATTCAACCAGCCCAAAAATATTTATAATATATACATCAAGTCCACAATAGTACTTTATCAAATTATTATTATACGAGTATAAATAACCAATTTTTATGAGTTATTTTTATCATATTTAATTATAATTTTCAAATATTAAGCAACTATGTATAAGACTAAATAAGGAATGGATATAAAAAATAACATTTATAACAAGCTGCTCATACTCTGTGTACGTGAGCGTGATTATAACATGGTGATAGTTGATTTGTCTTCGCTTGTGTATTGTATGTATATATTTTTATTAACAGATGGGCGGACGGTGTACGTATATCGTGCATTTACCCGAACTTTGTGGATATTGTGAATTTTTATAACAAAAAAAAAAACAATTTAGATAGCCATATAAGTAAGTTATCATTAAAAGTCAGTAAACCTTTGTGGAACGAACGTTACCTTAAAAGCAATGGCACTTAAGTGTCATTTCTGACAAGTGTGTAAAATGCAATAAAATATTATAACAGCTTGAAATGTATTAACCGTCGAATGGAATGAAATATAGTTTGCAACAGTGCAAACGCAATAATTCATTTGTAACGTTGACAAAAATATCACCAATTAGTGTTATTTATCTTTATATAATTCATTGGTGGTTATTTTTAAACTATTTAATTATTGCAGCAGTAAAAGATCAATAAATCAAGACATACAAACACTCATATCTAGATTCCATAATGCTTCACATATAATTATATTTGATAATTTATCATGGCATGACATGTCCTTGTCCTAATGATTATGTGGTAATATTAAATTAGGTACCGCTAGAATATAAATGTATACGCATAACTATTTTTGCTTTAACTATGGTTAGCGTTCTTATTCACTTACCCCTAAGCTTTTATGCCAAAAAATATAGGCATTGTGAAGGAAAAATTGATCAATTATAATAGATTAGATTTTATTCATATTGCAGGTAGATTTAGAAATAATTATCTCATTTTCAATTACATTTTGGGCCATGATTAGTTAAATCAATTCCTATGACCTCATGATTATATCTACTTCGTGTATGATTCTAATTTTGGCAAAATTAAGTCGAACAATCACAGAATAACAGCGTTGACGCGGCACTCATGTGTGTCACGAAAACACAAGCTGAGGCAGGGTCCTGATTGACCTGTGTAAATGTTATTATTGTATTCTTTATTATTAGTAGTATGTTTTTTTATTTTTTATTTTTGTGAATCATATATTGTGATGTATTTGTTTGTGTAATTGAGGTCAATAAATGTCTCTTCTTCTTCTTCTTCTAAAGATGAATTGATTTTTTAATTATACTCTCAAAACCTATTTTGAGATAAACCTAATTAACTAACGAAAGAACTAAATATGCTTTAAGTCGATTACCTAAGGTACGTTTCAGTTAAATAGTATGTCCTCGTTTTCTAATAAATCCTTTACCTACTTCTAACTAAGTATTATGACACACTACAGTTAATGCAAATATTAACACCTGCATCAGTTTAATCATTATCATCATCAGCCCTTTTACGTCCCCACTGCTGGGGCTCAGGCTATCCTTAACCTGACTTCCACATTTTTTGGTCACCCATCCCGTGAACGACCATTGCGAAAGTTGCTTTACAACAACAACTGTTATGTAACTTTAATAGCATACTTACGCTCTAATAACATTTAGACGACATTATTTAAAAGACAATAGGAAGAAAAAGTAGAGATTACTTTTTTTTTTATTATCTGCGGTTGATTGACGTATTGCTATTTGCACAAACGTCCTTTATGTTTTAATGACAACTTTATACTGTGATAAATGTTCTAAATTTGAAAATTTGTATCGGTAATATCAATTTATTCTATTAGTACTATTAGAAAACTTTGGAAAATTTCGGATCGCTCATATAATTTTATTTAAATCATTTCCATGACTGACCATCTATGCATCAGAGGTGTCTGGTCCTATCTCCACGCATGACAAATTATCGAAAAATTCGTTTCTTTAAAGAAGTATTAGCATTAATAAATTAAAATAATGTCAATTTTAATGGACGTTTGTTTAACAGCAGTAACACTACTTAAATTTAAAAGAGTCTGAATATGAGTTGGTTACCCTGGCAATTAAAAATGAATTTGACGCAGATTTATTGTAATTTACACTCCGTTAACTAAGTTCTCGGAAATGGTGTAAATACACTCGAATATAAAACTGTATCATAATATTTTTTTTATTTCCTTAGTATCTTAGACTGCAGACGCAACATTTCGTTTTTTATTTCTTTATTTTCGTTGTGCGAACAGTGGTATGATAGAAATATTATTTTCATTTCCTAGATTTATATATGAAATCAAAACTGAAATTACCTAATAATGAAATTTCGTTCTATATAACATTATAAAGACGAAATATTTGATTGTTCCTTTGCATTGCATATGCTCGGAAAATATTGAATTTATTTAAAAATTCTTTCACTTGCGAAGTTGCGGCAAATAGCTAGTCATTAGTAAAATTATTTTAAATAGTGCCTATTTTTTTCTATAATTATTTTTATAGAGAAATTAATTTTCATTATAGTTGTCATAATTTTTTCCCGTAAATCAAGATTTTTCATCAAATTTAGCAAGGTAAATGACTCCATGCATACTATCAATGAAATTATGTTTCTAATTCGAGTCAGTAGTTGATTCAAATAGTGAGAGGTAGCCATTAACTTACTATAATAGTGATAAGTAGTTACTAATTGACTGAAATACTGACACCTAGTCACTAATTGACTCGAGTAGTGACAGGTAGTCACTAATTCACTCGAATAATTGACATCAGTATAAAGGGCGAATAATTATATCGATAGGTATATGTAAAAAAAAAACAGGATTTAGAATATTTTTAGGCCGTGTATTATTTTAGTTGTATAATTTTATAATTTCCAATATAGGTAGGTATATACATTAATTATTAATAAAGTTAATGTTATTTAATAGTGTAAGTAGTGTTGTTTATCATTCACAATTAAAAAATTTTCAAATAATTAATATCAATACGAGTTTTGTTCCGTGAAAGTAAAATTACTGTACAAAGAGGAGACCAATGAAATAATTTATTTTTCGCTTATTTTAAACGCTGGCAAACCTATATGAACCACTTTGGGAATCCCTGTAATAGGCATATTTTTGATTCACGTAAAAAGTGATCGACGAGGTCTAAACTTCGACCCCTCTCAATTAAAAAAAGTTCTTAATTGAAATTTACAAAATACCCTGTATAAGTTGTGTTATATTTCTTTTTTTTTTCAAAGGTAAATCAACAAACTCAAGAGAAAGTATACACATTTTTATGAAACAGAGAACCAATTACAGATTGTAGCTACCTACTTGTTATAAGAATGAGTAATATTTCAATAGAAACAATTATATTTCTTTTTATAGTACTTTTAAAAAGCTATCCTTTTAAAGGCAACCACATCTTTTTTTTAAATTGGTAAGCATTTTATATTAAAAAGAAGCAACTAAACATTATGATTTTTGAAATAATTAAACTAAAGCGGTCTCAGGATTTCAATTTTGAAAAAGGTGTGTCTTGTAGTTTTGGAGTTGCTGGTATATAAATATATGTTACATAAAACACACATTTCTTAATGATATCATAATATTTACTCGAGCCAATGCCTCATTTACATGATAAATAAGAGACTGTACTGATAATTTGCATTTTAATAATAAATCACTGAAAGATTGGCTATTTGTTTTTCTCAAAGAGAGTGTACAGATATCAAATAAGAAATCAAAATAAATAAACTGTATCGAGTTGATAATCAACTTGGTTAAGTGAAGTCAACAATTTCATTAAGTTTAATTAAATTCGTTTAGTATGACAATTTGTAGCTGCTTTTAAATCTCGTATATACAAAAAAAAAACACAGAATTAAGTACAAACGAGAAGAGTAATACACGTTTATAATAAATGAGATTGTGTAAAAACAAAATATAATAATATTTGTTTTGGTCTGAAATTTATTGTGACTGAATCGTGTAATTTGATGTAGAGACTTTATGAGTAGTATTTGTTCAAATAAAGTTTAGGTTTCTCATTTAAAAGTGTGTTTATATATAACTATAGAGTATAGAAACTAAATTAAATCAAAGCTGCACAATTTATTGGGATTGTGTTGACTCGATTAGAGCATCATTAATGCGGACACACGTCCCGTCGGGTATTTATTCGCAAAAATACGCCTATGTCGCGTTGCTCTATATTACAAGTTCGGTGTGTTAGAAGAAAATTTGCCTGAGAAATCACTATAGATAGAGATGTTATAACAAGACAATAATTACTATATTGTGATTTTATGGTAAAAAAATGAAGGATAAGGATAAAACATTTTTTACATGGAGGAATGAATGTATTTTTGATAATTTTCATTATTTTACCAAGAGATAAGTGAGTTTTATAGAATTTAAAATTTTGGTATAAAGTTTTTTTTTATTTGACATAACAAACTTTTGCTCTACCTAAGCTATCATGCGTAATACAATTCGTACCTCTCATTTTGATGTCATCGACTCTACCAAAAATGGTGTTCAGTGTTTACGTGTACTTACCCCACATACACGTGTATATTCTATATGTTATTCATATTTATTTCATAATTGCACACACAACACTATGAACCACGTCCATCATAATCGCGATCACGTTCACATACGGGTGCGGTAACGAGCAACGGTGGCGTGCCGCGGGGCCGTACTGACCTGCCACTTTTGGTGATCACCATCTCGGTGCCCAGCTTGTGGAACTTCTCCCATAGGTCCTTGCCCTCGAGGGTGACCTTGGGGTCATCGACGACGCCGTCGTCGTCTGGCGGCAGAGGCGCATACGGCGGCGGTGGCGGCTTGAGCAGCGGACAGGGCGCGGACAGTGCGGCAGCAGCGGCTAGTGCGGCTGGCAGGTACGGCGGCGGCGGCAGCGCACCCGCCGTCAGCAGCGCCGACACCGAGAAGTCGCTCGGCCGCGGCGCCAGCAACGGGTGGAACGCGACGGCGTCGCGCCGCTCCGCGCCCTCGAAGCGCATGCCCGCGCCGCCCGGGGCCCACGGCGCGCGCTCCACGACCGGCGTGCCCGTCGGCTCCAGCGGTCGCGCTCGCGCCCGCTCATGCAACGTCCATAACGCGCCGGTCGGCGGCTCGTTCGCGACACTCGCTCGTCCCGTGGCGACACCCGCTCGCGCGGCAGGCGTCAAACGACTGGCCGCCGGCGGCGCCGGCTCCGACACCCCTCCCGCCGCGCGCCGCCCAATGGCGCGTCGAGCGGCGCCCCGCGCGCGCCCTCCCGCGCGGCAGGCGGGGCGACGGCGCCACGACGCGTTGTTTTTTCGTCGCGGGCGAGGTGTCCGCCGCCGCCACACCTCGCGCGCGTTCCGAGCGCAGGGGGCCGGGGGGGCTCCGCTAATCTGGTTAATGCGGCGCGCGGGGGCGACACTCGCGGCCGCCGCCGCCGCCGCCTCCTTCTAATTGGACACGTTTCCGTTCGTTCATCAATTGAGCTCGTTACGTTCTCGCAATATCTTTTGTACGGATAGTGCTGGCTCTATTGCTAGCCGACGACTCGTCCGCTCGACCTACCGCTGAAGCTCACGAGTTATTTTTGTTGAGAACTCGCCACGCGAAACTTTCCGCTAGCGCTGACAAGTTTACTCGCGGCGAAACATCAAAAGTTTTTGGGGTTTGTTAGAAGTTATTCAATTATGAACTTGATCGTGTCTCGACTTTACAAGATTAGCGAAATTAATAAGTCTCTATGTTAAAAAAAATAAGAGTAGGTGCAACTGATAGCATCACTGTTTCGTATTAGTAACTGACTTTGACAAAGTCATGTAGAGTTGTGTAGAGCAATCATTTCATGTACGATACGAAAAATTCGACTAAATAAGTGTATTGTAAAATCCTAAAAGTAGTATTGTAAAATTGTTAATATTTCGATATAATTTTAAAAGTTTCGTCCTAAAGTCTTACGGCTAAACTATTTACTGCTAAATTCTAAAACTATGATAGTAGATAGAGCTATGCTAAACATATTGAAGCTTAGTTTAAATATCTATTTTTGTGAAATCTTTCTGTGAAATCCTTGAGTGCATATTGACTTTATGCACTCATGGATTTCACAGAAAGTTCAGTTTACAATACCAAACTAAGTTTAACTTTTGCTTTTCAAAGGACTTTTAGTTTGGAATTGGACCCGGTTGCTCCGAAGATTGCTCTGATGACAAAAAATACAATTTATGTTACTACTTAGTAATAATTATAATTATAAAATTGGTAGCTGTAATTTTGAACTCCAATTTGTACTAATGTTATAAAGAGGAACTTGTTTATTTGCTTAGTACTACTTGATTATTTGTTTAGTTTGCTTAAATACGTTCTCAAAATACTGGACTGGTTTTTGGACTGGACTTTCTCCTACGGGAAGCTACATTATATATAAGTGACACAGGCTATAATTTATGAGAGTGAAGTCACTGGAAAAAGCTAGTTTTGTTATATAAAAAGTTATTGAAGATCGACTCTACATTAAAATACTTCGTAATTATTTTGACTTTTTGAAAATAAAGAGTTTTATTATAATATAATAACGATTGAGTGGTTCGTATGATGGCCATGTTTGAAGTTACAGGTTCGACTCTCAATAAGGTCACTAAGCATAAGAATTGTTGTCTTTGTTTTGTAGGACAGTAGCTGTTTCAAACTTGCATAAATACAAATGCTTCAGCTAATAAACTTATGTTCTGAGTAATGTATGTTATATGTTTTTGAATATTTATCCACTAATTTATATTATGTACAGTCAACAGCACGTCAGCCTTCACAAATCTGTCTAGTCTCTTCACTTGATTTTAAACCTAAATGCATTTAGGTTGGAGTTGAAAATTATTGCGAAACTTGTGATAACTTGACGTGCTGCTCTGTGTACAGTACACAGTAGTACGCTAGGTTAAAAAGTATGTTAAATTTCTACAATTAATTTAAAGTCTAAAATCATTACATTATAAAATTAATAAGCATATATATCGGTTTGATTTTGTATGGCTCTGCGTACTGCTGTCTCTACCCACTTTTTTTTCAAAAATTAATCCTACACGCATCATATATATACAGATGAATACTTTATTTTAATAATAATAGAGCTTCTGGCATATACAAAGTCCACTATGTCTTTTTACTCGGTTTTTGTTGCCACTTAAAAAGGCATATTTAAAAAATAATATATTTAACTGTGATTTTAATATAATTTTAGTAATGCCTCGTTTACAAATTAAACAATGTTCTCGTTCTTATTAATTTGTAATTATTCATGTAGCAAATAATGTGTACTTAATTACGTATCTTCATAACACATATGTTCAAAAACGAACTAAAAATATCCACATTCTTAATGAAAAATACTTAAAAAATCCACTTTGTCCTTGGCACTTTGATATGGGACTCGAAACTATGATCTTTCGCATTTTTCATGACTAAAAATATTTTTCAGTAAAGCATTATGAACGCAAAATCTATCAATTATAATTTTCATCTTTAATGAAAGTTTAAATATTTGTAAAAATATTTCTTTCGGTTGGGTTGGGTTGCCTGAACATTGATATAAAAACGTTCTGTAGTAGCGATGTGTAACAAGTACTTGAGAAATTCTCCAGTCCTGTTAGGTCCTACGTAACTCAGTCGTTTGAGCTGATGCCCGGATTGCGAAAGTTTACGCGTTCGAGTCCCATCTCAGGGTGCCAGTGACAAAGTGGTTTTTTTAACATTTTTAATTAGTTTTACTTTTCAGGATAGCATTGTGAAGAATATCCATTTCAAGAAACATCACAAAACAATTATATGTGCTATTATTAAAAATTTTGATTCCTATCTGGAAAAAAAATTATATAACTAACACAAAAATAGAAGAATAGATAAAAAAACTTACTCAAAAATTTTAAGTCAAGAAACACACGATTTAAAATCCCAGTGCAACAATAAAAAGTTATAATAAAGGGCTTAGATTAATTATGTTAACCTATTAATTAATATTTTAGCCAGGCTGCCATTTTGTCTTACATTTTCAATAACTTGATGTCTTTTTTATAGATTAATAACTAATATAATATCAAAATGTCTTCTTCAAGAACGCTTATTTGTATTTTAGTCAAATGCGAATTGTTTTTTTTTTGCTATTTTAAACATTCTCCTACCAAAGATAAGACACGGTCAGTTGCACAAACATACATTAAAGTTGTTATTCAACTTTTAACTCTAATGAAAGTCAAATTTGTATAAGTAATGCCGCTTTAAATTAATAATAATTTTAATAGACATTTGTGCAATTGGCCATTAAGGTAACATGATCAGACGTAACAGTAGGTAATTATAACTACCTACTCGTACGAATTAACACGGTACCCGGAAACCTATCATATTTCTCCGAAAACGAAATCTCGTATATTTTCAAAATGATAATACGACCCCAAAGAAGAGCATTTATCGATTAGTTTATATTTTATAATAATAATTTAATATTGCTTCTAATGTACAGATAATCTTTGCGGATATGAATTTCACGAAATTATAAAAATGATTCGAAATTTTCCAAATTTTCGTGCGAGAACATATTGCACGTTGATAATGACAATGTCACTAACCAAAAACGACGTATTTTTTACTTTTGGCAACATTTTTCTTTGGTACCTATTAACTTTAAAATGCAAAGATCCCTGTGAAAGTAGCTTGCATATAAACTGCTAGGTGGCGTAGTGACGATACGTCGTTTAGAGGGGCTGATTACAATTTCTTGAACTTTAAACGCTCTACTTAAAATCGCATTTTTTGCATTGTGTCACTATCGTTCTCAACGTGCGATATAGAAAAGACCCCCAAATTTTCGTGCGAGAACATAAAGAAAAGACCCTCGGGTGACATGTTAATTCGTAAGAGTTATAGGTACTTGTTATTATTTATTATATATATATCGCTGGCAGAATGCGAAGAGATACTTTAAAGTAACAATTTCAGTGTTCCATAACTACGTTAATTATTCTTTACTGGTTTATTTAGTATCATCATCAGCCCGTTTCACGTCCCCATTGCAGGGGCTCAGGCCTTCCTTATCCACGCTGGCCCAATGCGTATTAGAGGCTATTAACGACTGCAAATGCATATATTCCTAAATATGGAGTAGCTCGAGGTAATAATTTTTGGTCACCCATCCTGTGACCAACACTTTTTTTTTATGGAATAGGGGGCAGACGAGCAAACGGATCACCTGATGGTAAGTGATTACCGTCGCCCATGGACACCTGTTTATCGACTGCGCCATCGGGCATAGAGTTACTAAGTTCAGTATGTTGCTCAGTAACTTAAACAGCTAAAGCTTTTGGATTAAGGTCCTCTGAAACAATGAACGAGATACGAGACAAATATGGAAATTATTATTATACTTGGTCGGGAATCTTAATTGTGGCTCTACCTCGTAACCGAAGTCATAAAAGCCATGAGTGATCTAAAATCGAAGGGACACATTCTGATCGACATATTGACGGTTTACAGATCAAATTGACATATTAATCAGGACTGCAATTTAGACATGTTAATCATGAGTTTTAGTAATGCGATGAAACTGATGCCGTAGTAAAAATAAAAATTAGTTTATTTAGAACTGATAATCTTGATTTTTTATATATCAGAGGTAGAGCAAACTATAAAGCTTCTTTTCTGCATATATCAGGCTTATCTGTACCTTAGCTGAATCTATACGTTTCCTTCATGTTGGCAACTTAATGAAATCAACATTAATCGACCGGAAGTTGACGCCGGTGACGCCATCTTGCGGCGCACAATGACGTTCACGTGCAAGATGGCGACTATATAAGCAAGCAACCGACCTAAGCATGGCAGTCTTAGTTCCGCTCGCGCTGTGACAACTAGTGTAAATTATAAAATAAAGTGTTGTGATTATTGATAGCTATGTGTGATGTATGCAAATTAGTGAATAAATAGTTTGATGATTGAAAGTGAGGTTTTAGTTAACATTCATTTTACTTTTTTTTTTTTTAGTTTACTTTTATGTCCCCTCTGATAGACAAGGAGTCTCTCTATACCTTAATTAGGGAGGACGGCCATTACCATTACCAATAACCATGCTCAGTGTAGATTGGTGAGGGCTAAATGGCTGAAATGCAACCCATAGCTAGCCAACGCCTAATGGATCTTCCGA